GGAGAAAATGAGAGTTTGGAAGATCCGAGTGCGAAAAGTGCGAGAAGAAAGAGGAAAGGGGTACTTATAGGGAGGAGAATAAGCCTTGACCCTCAGATCAAAGGTAGATACAACGGTGTAGATAAGGCATGGAATGCGAAGCGGTGAGGAGAGAGAACGTCTTGTCAGAGCCAAAAACCCTTTTTGAATTTTGAAATTCAAAATAAAATCCGAATTTATCCAGACATAACTAAAATTTCAAAAAATAAGAAAACCGCACGTAAGTCGACAGGCTAAGAAAGACGACTGGAGGCCCGGAATATGGCCGAGAAGGTATCATGACTCAATACTGGACAGACGCGTAGGGTAGGGCGCAGTCCGCAAAAACTTAACTACCTACTCGGTAGATTTACTCTTAAGCTCAGAATCACTTCGAGTAATTTCTGGGGGGATTAGATGATATAGCCATACTGTCGTATAACGGTTCAGACGTTACCGAGTCGACTTTTTGAAAGTCGACTCTTTATTATGAAACTGTAGTATCTCCAATCCGTAAGGGCCCAGATGTCTCTCCCAGTCGATTTCCGTACGTCGACTAGCGTGAGTCGACTCCCTCAAGAAAGATGGACAGGCGCATCGGGGTCTATCAATGACTGAAGATGATCTAGTCGATTTGAGTTGATATACCGAGTCGACTTGTGATGTCTCGAGACCCGTAGATCCCCGACGACTCCAATGAACTTCAATATATCATAAGGAAGTCCCTTAAGGATAAGAAGGAATCTAGATGCCGACTAGGAGAGGGATGGAATACGAACCGACCAGGGCATTTTGGCCATTTCCAGTAAGTCGGCCGGGGCATTTTGGGAACTTCAGGTAAGTGTCTTGCTCCTATATAAAAGAGTTGAGGTAACCCCAAAACCCTAACTCTCATTCCTTCCATACTCTCCCCATTACTGTTGTTGCTCTCTGAGAGCAGCACTCTTCATCTCTCTCATATACTGACTTGAGCGTCGGAGGCTCTACGCCGGAAACCCCTCCGGCGTTGAGTTCTTGCAGGTTCTCTTGTGGTCCAGTGGTGGTTTGAAGGTGACTATGACAGATCTGAGCCCATTCTCATCAGTTCGTTCTAGATCTGGGCCCATTTCCATCGGTTCACTCCAGATCTGGGAAGAGACCCATCAAGGTTTATCTCAAAGGTAGCCGAACAGAGTAGTCCTTTGTTCAAAACTTTAAGAAAGAGCTCAAAATTCAAGTCGGCGAATGAGCCTCAGAAAGCGTTCGAGGTGTTGCAGGTTGTGTTGGTCGATCTACCTTTGTTGGCTAAATCGGTACATTTGGAAGACTTGGTATTATATGTTCGATTGCAGTAGCTGCAGTGAGCTCAGTCTTGTTGAGGGAAAAAAAAATAACCCAACACTTGATCTATTATGCTAGACGATTGATGAAAAGAGCATAATTAACATACTTGGAGATCGAGATAGGCGCACTAGTTGTGGTTGTGACAGTGACAAAGTTGCGGCCATATTTTTTACTCACAGTGTGAAAGCGAGAACAAACAAACGCTTGTTTGACCTTCTGTTTCTCGTCGAATGGTAAGTGAGAGATTGAACTAAGCGAATACTTTTTAGTTTACTAGCCTCAGAGGGCGATCAAGGCCCAGGTTTGATTTCATTCAACATGGTACAAAAGATGAGGTCGAAGCTGAGGGAAAGTGGCAAATATAAGTTTACAGGTCAGCTACTAGAGGTGGAGTGGGGTTGGGCATCATGCTAATCTCACCCACAAGTACCAGTGTAGAGTCTGCGACCAAGTTAGGATTTAGGGTGTCTAACAATGAGGCAGAGTATGAGGTCGTAGTCAAAGTTTTGCAAGTATCCTTAACATGAGGAGCTCGAGAAATCCAGGTGCACTCTGATTCTTAATTGGTGATATATCATTTTTAGGAAGGATTCAAGGTGAATGAAGAAAGGATGCAAAGTTTATTGTTGAGTTGAAGAGGTTGCAAGAAGAGTTCAGTTATTTCGAGCTGATCCAAATCCCAAAGGGTGAAAATTGTCAGGCTAATTTTCTTTCGAAAATAGCCCAGAATTTGGTTGATTGCAAAAGTCGAAGTGTAACTTTGTTGCACATGGAAAAAAGTGCAACTGACATCTATGTGGCAGAAATCATGAGGTCGAGTATTGGAGGGCTCTTATTCTGCGAGAACTGAATGAATGAAACTTGAAATATGTCAAGAGGTTCTTCGAGCAGGGACTAATCCTTTATAAGAGGTCGTATTTAGGACCGCATTTAAGGTGTGTGGCCGATGAAGAAGGAAAGTATGTGTTGGAGGAGGTGCATGAAGGTGGTTGTAGTGATCATAGCAAGGTGGGTCATTGGTATCAAAGATTCTTCGAGCAGGATAATTTTGGCCGACCATGAGGGTGGACGTGGTCATAATGGTGAAGTGATGTTCGCAGTGCCAAAAGCATGGGCCACTCATCCATCAGCCGGCGAACATGATGACCACGATGAGCGCCCCGATTCTATTTGCTTAGTGGGTCATCGACCTGGTGAGGCCTATGCCGCAACGTTCTAGCCAAAGGAAGTTTTTGATTGTAGCTGTAGATAATTTAACTAAGTGGGTCGAGGCTGAGTCATTGGACATATGGAGAATAAAGTGGTGTCATTTTGGTATAACAACATTCGTTACACGTTCAATGTACCAAAAGTGTTGATTTTGGACAATGGAACCCATTTCAACAGAAAGAACATTAGAGCATGGTGTGAAGACATGAAGATCGAGCAACACTTCAAGTCATTGGCACACTCCTAAGCTAATGGATAGGTCGAGTTACGAACAAAATTACACTGAATGGCCTAAAGACTAAATTGGAGAAGGCCTTGGGGGCGTGGGTGGATGAGCTCACTTCTATACTCAGGGCATATCGAACCACCTCAAGATCGACGACAGGTGAAACCTCATTTAGCTTGGAATACGACATGGAGGCCTTGTTACCTGTTGAGATCGAGCTGGAGTCCCAACAATCGACCACATATAATCAGAAGCAAATGATGAGATGGTACGAGCAGCACTGGACACAATTGATGAGCTGCGAGAGCATGCGTCGACTAGAGTAGTGGCATACAAAGAAAGGATGCAGGTGGCACACGACAAAAGGTCAAAGTCGAGAGATTCCATGTTTGAGATGTGGTATGAAAGAAGGTTGATGCCTTGAAACATGTTGGTAAACTTGAACCAAATTGGGAGGGACCATATTTGGTCGAAAACGTTCACGCTGAAGGTTCATATCCAATGAAGGACGCGGAGGGAAGACCTTTACCAGGTCATGGAACATTGCAAATTTGAAAGATATTATGCATGAAAAATTTTTCTTCGCAAATAAAAAATGTAATACACTTTAGTTGTGGAGATTAATAGAAATATGTTATGTGGCTTTACTTTATTATATTATAATGTTTGGTGTGCTTGTGTGTGACCTCAATGGCAGGTCACACTTTGGTTCTGAAAAATCCACCACGATTTAGGCCTCCAAGCTGGGTGCTCAATCCAAGTGCGCGGTCGAAGACAAAAAAATCCATCATGATTAAGGCTCTGATCTAGGCGGTCGCTTGTTTGAACGACCTAGAGGGGGTTTGGTCAAGTGTTGAAAACCAAAATCACCATATCCACGGCTATCAAACTAGATGGTCACTTTTTTGAATGATCCCAGATTGGGGTTGGGCAAGTGCTCAAAGCAAAACCCACCATGATTAAAGCTTTCGAGTTGGACGGTCGCTTGTTTGATTGAACCCAAATGGGGGTCGGGTAAGTGTTCAAGGCAAAGTCCACCATGTCCAAGGCTTTCGAGTTGGGTGGTATCTTGTTTAAATGACCCCAGAGGGAGGTTTGACAAGTATAGAAAATTCCATAATCAATTGTACCTCTAATATAGCGAAGAATTATGTTCGCCACTTTCAAATGTGACAACGTATGAGTCTCCATGTAGCGATTTACGAACCTAACTCCAAATAGAATGTCCGGTCTCATACAAGTCAAGTACCTCAAACTTCATACAAGACTTTTAAAATATGTGGAATTCATTTTTCCACCATCTTCATGCAAAGATAGTTTGACCTTACATTCAACATGGATACTCATGAGCTTGCAGTTCTCCATCTCGAATTTTTTGTGAACTTCTTTTGCATAAGTTTCTTGCGAAATGAATATCTCATCGTATTTTTCTCCACCTCAATGTCAAGATAATAGGACACCAACTCGACGTCAATTATCTCAAACTCATTCACTATAGGCCTCTTAAAGTTATCAAACATCGCTGGATTATTTTCTGTGAAAATCAAATCATCCACGTACCAATACAAAAGCAACATGTCGACATTTTTGCTCCTTCTGACGTAAAGAGCATGTTCATGTGGGCATTTTGAAGACAAAAATGTTGATTAATTTGACTATTCTATGCACGCGGAGCTTGCATCAAGCCATGAAGATCCTTCTTAAATTATAACACATTGTCTTCGTGGTCTCTCACAACATAGTCTGGTGGTTGATCGAAATAAATTTCTTCCTCTAAAACAAACTCTGTTTGAGAAAGCAGATTTTACGTCGAATTGATGGATTTTTCATTAATTTTAGGAAGCAATGGAGACGATCAACCGAATCATCTCTAGATCGACATCGATTGCCAAAACTTCAATTTTATAAATATAATTTCTTTTAATGAACACCCTGTATTTTTATTTTTATTTTTATTAATAAAAGGACATGTGAGTGACGTGGAATCTTGAAATTCAATAATTGTCATTTTATATCCTAATCAAATGTGATGATATATAGCCAATATATATGCTCACAACTCACAAGCCATAAAAAAAATACCAAAGACCCGCCTTCTCTTCACAATTCTCTCCTTATGGCTACTCTCCACCATTCTTTTATTTTCCGTTTGATGGAATTAATTCTGCTCTATTCATCACTTTTATTAGCTTTATTTTCATGCTTCACACAGAAAAGCAAGGCCATGGCCACCACTGAAGCCCATTTTCATAACGTTCAAATCAGCTCTCTTTTGCCAGCCCCAGTTTGCAGTCCCTCCACTGGTATATCATCAAATCTTTTCTCTTCAATTATATTCATTTTTGTTATTTTCAATTTTTCATATGAAGTTGACTTGTTTCATCAATTCTCAGTTGAATGATAGACATGTCTTTTAGTGCTATGCAAACAATTTCAGAATTATTATTATTATTATTATTAGTTTCTAGGACCATATGTTGTAAGATGGGGAGATTCTACGGTCCCGCTACATAATCATTTTGTCAAAATTTGTAACCGTTAGATCATCATGTAACTGTCGTGCATAGTTGATCCAACGGTTACAAACCCCGGCGGAATAGTTCCGTAACGGGACCGTAGAATCTCCCTGTAACATGGCCAATTTCCCATAAAATGAGCAATGAAAAAAACTCCAATTTTCCGGCCAGTTTCCGTCAATATCCACATAATTTTGCAAAATATTATTTAAAGTCCATTAATTGGCCGTCAATTTTATTCATGGACTTTTTGGCAGTCCATTAATTGGTCTTAAATGAAACTATATTAATTAATTCAATCTTCAATTAAAAAATTTCCCCATAATATTTAATAATTTCATATTTGGTAACATAATTACTATATTAAGCATTACTTGGTAAATTGAAATTATTAAAGGAAATTTAAATAAAGGAATGGGGGATGGGAGATAATGGAAAATTTTGTGGTCATCAGTCTTCTGCCCCATAATGGACTTTTGTACAGTTGAGTGTCACCATTTAGTGCACTGATTGCAAGAGGACGCTTATATGTTTCTTTTTGCAAAGGTCAGCTTATTAAGTGGAAAATTCTAAATCATAGTACTTAAGTTGCTAATAAAAAAATCAAAAAAAAAAAAAAAAAAAAAAAAAAAATCTCTTATAATTTAAAATTTTGTTGCAATTTCAGTCTCTCAAATGACTGAAACTACAACAAAATACTAAATTATAGGATTCAATAAGCAAAAAATTTGGAATCTCGAGACAAAAAATAATATGATGTTAAACCAGCACGATTGAACATACAATTTTGTCTAATTTTAGATTATTAAAATAATCGATTTGCTGCAACTAACAATCAAATGCCTATATAGAGTGCAATTCACAGCTGTTCACAGTCTAAAATGAACTTCTTGCATCACGGGAAAGTAAATATAAAGAAAAAAAAAACAAAAACTCCACTTCAGAAACTTATATAGTTGAGCAAATTGTCAATTGGTTGGTGCCTTGTCGTGTAACTCTGTATTTTCAACACTATGAAAAATTGTGCTCTTACGCTAGTGTTTGTCACTATCACATATATTAGCCGTGTTATTGTCCATAGCACCAATTGGAAGAGTTTCTTTTTTCTTAAAATTTTTTTTGAAAGATTTTAGAGAATGATTAGGAGGGGGAGTGGTAAAACTAGTTGATAGCTGATAAACAAGTTTATAGCTCATCGGTAATTTTCGAGCTTATAACTTATAGTTTATGCATTATAGCTGAAAAGTTAATTTATATGATAAAAGTGTTTGGTAAAATTAACTGATAAACTAGATGAAATAAAAATTTCAACTGAGCTAATTTGAGAAGTTACCCAAAGAAGCTTATCAAATGAACTCGAGCTTTTTAAAAAAGCTGGTCTTACTAAAGGGGCTTATATGAATACAATGAACTTATAAGGCAACCAAATAAATTATAAGTTAACTTATTTGTCAACCACACATAGTATAAGTCTCCATCATAAGTATTGGAGTTTGATATATTGTAGGATGCTAACTAGTACGAATCACGTGTGATGCACGGGTAAGAGATATTCGTTGATACTTACAAATTAAAAATACTTATTAAATATTAATAATAAATTAAAATATGAAATCAATATGTAATGCTCCCTCCTCCCTATATTAATTTATTTCAAACGTTATATGAAAGATAATTTGTGCAAAATTACATAAAACATGTCTATTGAAATTAGTACACAACTTGTACGGTGCACATAACATGTAATAAATTACATCATATTCATATCAAAATAAGGGCCAATTTTTTTTTTTCTCTTGGTACTAAATTAAATTTAAGATGTCTAAATTTTGTGATTAAATAATTTGTAAAGTGAAACGTTATATTTTTTAAAATTCATATAAAACTGAGATAAAATATAAAGTCATGTACAAATTCGATTACCAAAGAGACAAATAAAGAACATAAAATTGTATTTTATCTATCTTAATCATTTATATAGAAATATAATACATTTATATTAACCATGACCTAAAATGGCATATTTTTATTATTTACAATAATTTTGTTGTTCACTTTAAAGTTGCAATTATATTTAGATATATTTTGTTAGTAATATACAGAAATTAAGCAAGTTTAATTTCTCTTATCCCCTCTATATATAACTAGTGCATGGCCCGTGCGATGCACGAAAAAAATATTACGATGGTGTATAAATTAAATATATAAATAAATTAATCAAGATTTACACATCGTTCTTAAATTAAATCGTGTTTGACACAGTCCGACTGGATGAACCGAGAACCAGTTTATAACCAGTCTAATTCGCTTAAATTAAAATATTTGTTATTGAATCCGTCAATACCAATCGGTTGAACTGGTAGGATCGATATAATTTTCTAAATAATCTTGCTACATTCAAAATAATTTTAAATAAAATTACAAATTTAAATAAAATAGAAATTTATGAATTGTTTATCAATTGTTTATCAATTAATTTAAATAATTTTAATCATGTATGCGACGTGGCTTTTCGGGCCGAAAAATTGAAAAAAGTCCTACTTTGATCATTTTTTAAAAACTGCGGGACTATTAATATTTTCTGGATTCCGTTAAGACCAAAACTATCACCACATATATCCGTAGGACTAATTTTGAAATTTTCTCTATTTGTAAGTAACAAATATGTGTGTCCTTAGAAAAATTTGGATTCCGCGTTCCTTTATAAAGTTGTATTTTAAATTTCCCTTTTAATATAATTAGTATTAAATGAAGTTTTTAAAATTAATCAAGAATCTCGTTTCCTGTAAGATGCAGGGTCCACCCAGAGGCAATCTGCAGCACTGGAAGTTCATCACAGGCACGGCCCATGCTTTTCCCAGCAAACCCAAACCAAACCCACCTCCAAGTCCAATCCACCACCATTATCCAAGATTCTCACCCACGACCAATCCAGAGTCGAAGCCATACAGGCCCGTATCAACCCCGGCCCAAACCCAAACCGAAAGAACAATAACCGGTTCAAGGACTCAAAGTCCGACCTCCCGGCTCAGCCCGGCAGGTCATTCAACACTGGCAACTACGTCGTCACCGTCCGCCTCGGCACCCCCGAAAAGCCCCTCTCCCTCGTTTTCGACACGGGCAGCGACCTCACGTGGACCCAGTGCCAGCCGTGCGCCAGGTCGTGCTACAATCAGCGGGACCCCATATTCGACCCTTCCTCATCCACCTCATACTCCAACATCTCCTGCACTTCCCCCCAATGCTCCCTCTTAGCCTCCGCCACCGGAATTAACCCCGGCTGCTCGGGCGCCACCTGCCTCTACGCCGTGCAGTACGGGGACACCTCCTACTCGGTCGGGTTTTTCAGCAAGGACAAGCTCACCATCACACAACAAGACGTCTTCCCAGATTTTCTCCTCGGGTGCGGGGAAAAAAATCAGGGCCTGTTCGGGTCCACCGCGGGCCTGCTTGGCCTCGGCAGGGACCCGCTCTCGTTTGTGTCCCAAACCGCTGCTAAATACGGGAAATACTTCTCCTACTGCCTCCCTTCGCTCTCCAGCCTCACGGGGCATCTAGCGTTCGGGAAAAGCAGCAGCGCTCCAAATAACGTCAAGTTCACGCCTTTCGCGGGCTCGCGGGGCAACTCGTTCTATTTTGTCAAGATCGTCTCGATTTACGTGGGCGGGGCACGGGTGCCGATTGAGCGCTCGGTGTTTCAGTCAGCCGGCAGCATCGTAGACTCGGGGACGGTTATTACTCGGCTGCCGCCGGGGGCGTACGGCCCGATGAGCGCTGCTTTCCAGAGGCTGATGGGGAAGTACACGCGGACAGGGGCGTACTCGCTTTTGGACACTTGCTATGATTTGGGGAATGCGACAAGTATCACAATCCCGGCTGTGTCGTTTGTTTTCGAAGGGGATGTGGAGGTGGAGCTGGCGGCGTCGGGGATACTAGTTGCCGTGGGCCCGAGCACGGTATGCCTGGCTTTTGCCGGAAACAGTAGGGACGCCGACGTGGGGATATTCGGGAACACGCAGCAGAAGACGCTGGAGGTGGTGTATGATGTGGCCGGAGGGAAACTGGGGTTTGGAGCCGGGGGTTGTAAGTAGAGGTAATGACTTGGAATTGGATGTGATAATTACAATAAGGTGAAACAGAGGAAGATACTGCTGAAGAATGTGTTTGAACAAAATATTGTATAATCAGTTGAACATTGAGAGATGAACAAATTAAGGAGATCTCTCCTAATTAATTGCTCTGATTCCTGAAAAATGAGATCATTGCAATTGTATCATCTCCTTTCTCGTCAATTACAAATTCCATGGAGTTATCGGATGACTCCCTTATAGAGTCATTCATAACTTTATAAATTGACATGTGTCCAATGTGTATTTAATGTCGGACACGTGTCAACACACCATTTGTTAATAACTATAGATTGCTCCATAAGTCGAGTCATCGGATGGCTCCATGGTAAAACCGTGTCTTCAATATACCATGATCGTGAGCACTTGTACCAGCCGCACTTGTAACATTGCTAGTGAAATTTAGGAGGACCCAAAGAGTGTGTTCTCCAAGACTATCATCGCACCTTTTTGGTCTCCCAAACCAAATCCGGAGCATTTGCTAAAAAAACGCAGGTTCTATCACATAAGCAAATGCAGGTTAATTCTATCACGTAAGCAAAGGACACTTTTTGTTTCGTGAGATGAGATTAAACTAAATTTGAACATGTACACACTACAACAATAATCGATCTACTGGTACAACTCTCGTGTATTACACGAGTGTTTGTTAAAAAAATTATTTTAAAATTTTAAAATAAATGAGAAAAGTTATTTTAAATTTTATTTACTTTTTTACCAAAAAAATATATTATTATATATTTTAAAAAGACACTTGTTGCTTGTGCAACTCACATGTGTTATATTATAGTAGTAGTATTTTTTATAACTTTATATCATATAACTACTTGAAATATAAATATATTAATTGATAAATAATTTTATTTTTGTAATTAATATTAAAAAATAATTTTATTATTGTTATAAAGATAAATATAATTTATTTTTTTATACATACAATATAGATGTTAAATCGAAACTCATCAAAAGATGATTAATTTGATATATTATACATGTAAAACTGATAAAAACTACAAAAGTTATTAATTTTTAAAATACATTTACAATTCAATGGTTATAATAAGAAATGATATTAAAATACAATTAGTACATGTAACATAACCATTAATAATCAACATATTTATGGATAATCCGGACCTAATTATTTTTCGTCTGGAAGTAAAGTAAAATCTACCAAAGCTTAATAACGAATCATGTAATTTTGCCACATATGATCCTAAGCATGCGAGCAGAGCCGATCCTGAAAATTTATTTGCCCTGGCCAAATATAAAAATTATAGGCCCTGGGCCAACTATAAAAAGAATTCCCCTAAGTACCTTTTTTTTCTGAAAAATAAATGATACATTTTAGATAATACCAACAATAATTCAACATTCTTTTTATTATAAAAATAAAATTATAATTTATAGACTATTACAATCTCTCTAACAAAGCTAAAAATAAAATCTAATAAAAAACTTATCACGTTACAAAAGATAATGTCTTAACAAATATTATATTTCAACATTCCTTTTATAAAAAAATAAAATAAAATATAATTACAATTTATAAAACATTACAACCTTTGACAAAGATAAAAACAAGTAAAATCAGTACTGTTTTTTCAATCAGTACTCAAAAGAATCACTAAGCTTTAAAATTTAAAGAAACAACTAATTAACAAATAATGTTCCGAAAAAGAAACAACTAATTATTAATTAACCACTCACACTATTTAAACTTATGCTTTAAATTTCTTTACTGTTAGTGTTTTATGTTTACCTTCCACGGATGGCTACTCTGTGGGGAAAGCAGAAAGTGGCTACGTGCGGCCCAGCAGAAAGCGCCGACGGTAATGACGTTAGGCCCGATTGTGACGGACGGCGAGCAGGGCGGCGCCTACGAGGTATGCGGCGAGCGGGTAGCAATTTTTTCGTCCACAACAAGACAAAATTCTGGAACTATGCTAAATTGCTAATGACTGGCTCTGTGGATCAAGCCTCAAGGGACAATTTTTCCATAAATAAAGAAAATATTCAATTGAAATTTGAAGGTGAATATGAAAAACAAAGATTATAATCTATAAAATTAACCGTTAAAATTTTGAAAATGGGAGAGATGTGAGGAATATGATAGGTTGAAACCTTGAAGCAAGAAGAATTAGAAGTTGAACGGACCGCTGGTGTTTGCCGTTTGGGAAGAGGAATTCTCAAGATTTGGGGCACTTTTTTTTCAGATTTGGAAGAAAATAAATCGCCGACAGATAAATTGAAGGCTACATTAATTAAAGAAAGAGATTTGGTGCACATTTACGTATATAATATACAATATAAAAATATATTATATTTTATATATATTTAAACTATATTGAGCCTGGTATATGGTGCCCCTTCTTTTGTTTGGACCCTGAGCCGTAGCCCATGCTACCTTGGGCTAGGGCCGGCCCTGCATGCGAGTCTGCCACTTAAGCTCAGTACGTTCTGAATTAATATGTTGGGGGATTGAGACAAAAGAATGTTCCAATATTACTACCTTATGGGACCCTTTTAGGCTATTGTTTGGCTGCAAGAAAACAGTGAGAGATACTTTAAAAAATTATTCCTTGTAAGTGTGTTGCATTCGAGTTTGGGACACTTGTTTGGGTTATAAATGTCTCTACATATATTTTATTGGGACATTGTTTATGTCTCTAAATGCTATCTCGATAAATTTAAATGTCCCAAAATAATTTCTCTAATTATGACACTAATAAATTTTGGGACACTTTTAAATGTCCCCTATAGAACCGAAACATGATACAACAAAAAAATCCTACATTTTCAACAAAAATAGTTGATATAGCCGTGAATAGCAATCAGCCAAAGATCGATCGTGATCCGAATTCAATTATAGTTTTATTGAAAAAAAAGCAAGGGGGGACTTGCATGTGCGAGTACAAGTTTCAAATGAGTAGGAGCTAGGCGGAGACTAGTGTTGTAACCATTTTTGTTGCATTTTTCGCTATATTTTTGTTCTTCTTTTCCCCTCATTTTTCTTCATTTTAGGTTATTTCGTGAGTTTTTAGTTCGTTTTGTGTTTTATTATGTGTTTTGTTCTATTTTGGTTTTCTTTGTGTTTTTCGTGTGTTTTTTTGGTTTTTCTTTGTTTTTGGTGTGCATGTCGAAAGTCTCGTGAGGAGTTGATTATAGACCGGGCAATCATGGTTATGTAGATGGACTCGTTGGCTACATATAGAAAAAAAAAACGGAATTTGATTTCGAGTTTGGATGAATCCGGACGGAACAAAAACGCGAAGCCGCGCAAGTTACCGACCCGTTAAAGGTTGAAAATTCCACATAATTTTTACTCTAGGCAAAAGTGTGGTTTGCAAGCATCATTGGATAGAGGGGTTCATTTGCTACGCGCAGGAAAAAACGGAATTCAATT